AGGTGCATGACTACAGGACTGCTTTTCTCCAGTTAATTAGAAATCAGAGCATTTCTCTAGGTTAAAAGCAAAGAGTATGCAGCCACTTATGTTAAAATTGTTGCCCTGATTTTCACTGCTAGTGATTTCAAATTCTTTTCAGGCTGATCGGTCTGCTTTTCACATTACTTAGCTTTCATCATCCCTTTGCACTTCATTTATAACATATTCATTTTTTATATATCAGAATCCTACTCACTGCACTTTAGAAAACAGTCTTCCTGGCAGGGGAGAAGGAACAGAGGTCTATGAAATAGGATATAGCTAATGATGTAATTAGCAGTATACCAAGCTAGTACCAGACCCAAAGGATTATAAATTCTATAAATATTTATAAATCTAGTTATCTGATTAATTATATATTTTGGCTTTTGGTTTAGGTTGGATGGTTTATTGGTTGCTTTGGTTTGGTTTGGCTTGGTTTTGTTGTTGTTTTGTTTTGTTTTTGAGAAAGCCTGAGAAAGTCATAATTTTGATAAGGCTGAAACTCATGAGTGGTATATGGATAACTTTTCAGCCCAGGGAGGTTTGCATCTCTTTTTCCAGTGAGCTATTCATTCAAGAATAGCTCTAGAATAGTTGAGCTGTATGGTGGACATTTTGTCCAGTAGGATCCTATGGGAAACCGTGTCAAAAGCCTTGCTGAAGTCCAAAAAAATCACATCAGCTGGTTTCCCTTGGTCCACCATACGGGTGATCTTATCATAAAAGGAAATCAGGTTAGTTAGGCAGGACCTACCCTTCACAAACCCATGCTGGCTGGGACCAATGACTGCTTTGTCCCCCAGGTGCGCCTCAATAAGTTCGAGAACCATCTTCTCCATGATTTTACCAGGCACTGACGTGAGACTGACAGGCCTGTAATTGCTAGGGTCTTCTTTCTCACCCTTCTTGAAAATCGGCACATTTGCCAGCTTCCAGTCTACCGGGACCTCTCCAGATTCCCAGGATCGTTGAAAAATAATTGAGAGAGGTTCCGTGATGACGTCCACCAGCTCCTTCAGCACCCGGGGATGAATCCCATCCGGACCCATGGACTTGTAGGGATCCAGGTGGAGTAGCAAATCCCGCACACGTTCAGGGTCGGTTGGCAGTTTGTCATCCCCACCGTCCCGGTCCTCCAGCTCAGGGCACCCTGGGTCCCGAAGCCCATCATCGGCATTGAAGACAGAGGCAAAGAAGGCGTTAAGCGTCTCTGCTTTGCCTATGTCATTGTCTGTGAGGAGACCTTCCCTATCAAGGAGCGGCCCTATGTATTCTTTAGTTCTCCTTTTTCCATTCACATATCTAAAAAAAAACTTTTTATTTTCTCTCACAGACACAGTCATCTTCAACTCTAGGTGTGCTTTGGCCACACAAATTTTCTCCCTGCAATCACGAACAGCATCCCTGTATTCTTTCCAGGACACCTGGCCCTCCTTCCAGTAGTGAAACACTCTCTGTTTCCGCCTAATCTCCATTGGAATGTTCCTGGTCAGCCACGCCAGCCTCCTGCCCCGCCTGCCTGACTTGCGATATTTAGGAATTGCCTGATCTTGTGCTTCTAGGAGGCATCGCTTAAAGAATGACCAGCACTGGTGGACATCGAGGCCTTCAAGAGCAGTTTCCCAGGGGACCTTGCTGACTAGTTCCCTGAGCAGCCTGAAGTCCGCTTTCCCCGTATCTAGGGATGAGGTTTTGGTGGCACTTTTCCTTCTGTCACCGTAAATTTTGAACTCAACCACTTCATGGTCGCTATGACCAAGGCAGCCACCAATCACCACATCTCCCAACAGACCCTCTCTGTTTTCTAGCATCAGGTCTAGGAGGGCACCTTTCCTAGTTGGCTCCGTTAGCACCTGCACCAAGAAGTTATCATCTAGGTACTTCATGAACCTCCTGGACTTGCTCGTGTCAGCCGTGTGGCGCTCCCAGTTAACGTCTGGCAAGTTGAAGTCCCCCATAAGGACAAGGGGAGTTAATCTCGAGGCCTCTCTTAGTTCTGTAAAGAATAATTTATTGGCGCTATCGTCCTGGCCAGGCGGTCTGTAATAGACTCCCACAACGACATCCCCTTTATTCGTTCGTCCCTTGATCCTAACCCAGAGGCTCTCAACTTTGCCATCGCCGACCTGAAGTTCCACACAGTCCAGCCCCTGCTTCACATACATCGCCACCCCACCACCTCGCCTACCCTGTCTGTCCCTCCTGAAGGGCCTGTAACCATCTATCGCAACACCCCAGTCACAGGACTCATCCCACCAGGTTTCGCTTATGCCAATGATGTCGTAGTTGCGGGACTGGGCCAGGACTTCTAACTCATCCATTTTATTCCTCATACTGCGTGCGTTCGTGTAGAAGCACTTCAGGTGCGTCTCCTTACACTCAGCACCTTGTGGATCTGACCGAAGGACTTCACTGGCACACAGCCCCTCTGATTCTAGCGTACCATCCCTTAGGTCTTCACCGGCGTGCCTGGTTTTAGCCCCTTCCCCCTTCGACTCTAGTTTAAAGCCCTATCTATCAGCCCTGCCAACTCCTGACCAAAGATCCTTACCCCTCTCCGAGAGAGGCGCATCCCATCCGGTGCCATCAGGCCCGGTGTAGCATAGACCTTCCCGTGATCAAAGAACCCAAAGTTCTGCTGGTCACACCAGTCTCGAAGCCACGAGTTTATGTGAACAGCACGCCTTTCAGCTTCGATCCCCCCTATCGGAAGGACAGAGGCAAACACAACCTGCGCCCCTGATCCTCTAAGTAGTCACCTCAAATCCCTAAAGTCTCTTTTGATCGCCTTCGGACTTCTTGTTGCTACTTCATCGCTACCAGCCTGAAAGACCAGTAGCGGGTAGTAGTCAGTGGGCCGTACCAGGCGCTTGACTTTCTTGGCAAAGTCTCTCACCCGAGCCCCAGGGAGGCAACAGACTTCCCTGCGGGTTGGGTCCGGTCGGCATATCGGTCCCTCTGTCCCTTTCAGAAGGGAGCCCCCCATAACAATAGCCCTTCTTTCTTTTTTGAAGGATGATGTAGCAATGCGATGTGTAGGTCGCCTTGTCTTAGGCGCCACCTCCAACTGGGACGGGTTTTTATCTACTTTGTCATTCAGATTGTCTTGTTCTAGTCCTTCATATCGATTATTTAAGGGTAGATGAGAAGGTGAGGTGGGCAGAGAGAGGGCTTGCCTACCACCCCGAATAGGCACCTGCCTCCATTCCCCCCCTTGATCTAGGTCTCCTCCCGCTGCCTGGCAGGAGGAGGGAACCTCCGTCTTCTGCATAACAGGAGACGCCTGTGCTGTGGCAGGCTCGTGAGCCTGCCTCAGAGAGGGTAGAGTGCACCTCCACCAGTCAATTTCCATCTCTGATTCCCTGATGCTCCTGAGCCTGTTCACCTCCTCCCGGAGCACCGCTACCTGGCTGAGCAGTTCTTCAACCTGGGCACACCTCCCACAGGCATACCCACCACTGCTGTCGGAGACAGACAGAAGGCTGGGGCACACTCTGCAGCCCAGGACCTGGACGGCTGCGTGTTTCCCCGAGCCCTCTGTCTGAGTAGGTCGGATCAGGTCATCCAGCTGCTCGCACCTCACGCACGCAGTGTCTCTGCCTCCCGCCGATGGCAGCAGCAGGCTCTGACACTCCCTGCATGCGGTGACCTGAACTGCTGCATTCTTTAACGGGTAGTCGGGTAGTCGGTCTGGGTGTATACTGACCTCCTGGAGAGCGCACCGTGCCTGGTGGAGACCATTATCGCCTAGCTAACGGCTGTCGTTAAGAGGTGTTCGTGTGGGCGGGGGGGAGCACTCTGCCCTGCCTGCGCGAACCGCCGCGCTAACTGCCGCGCCACTCCCTTCTGACGCGCCACGCCCTGTTTGCCCGTCCTGGTCGCCGCGCTCCTGGTCGTTCGCGCTCCCTAGGGGCTGCTTTTGAAGGGCCGGGGAGGGGGCGCTGCTGGCTCCGCCTTCGCCTCGTCAGCCTCCCTCACGAGGGCTGCCGGCTCCTGGCGGCTCCCTCAAGTAGGCTCGATGAGAAACTGGATGGACAGCCAGGCCCAAAGAGGCGTGGTGAATGGAGTCAAATCTGGTTGGAGGCCGGTCACCAGTGGCGTTCCCCAGGGCTCAGTGCTGGGGCCAATCCTCTTTAATATCTTCATCGATGATCTGGATGAGGGCATTGAGTGCACCCTCAGTAAGTTCGCAGATGATACCATGTTAGGTGCGTGTGTCGATCTGCTCAAGGGTAGGAAGGCTCTGCAGGAGGATCTGGATAGGCTGCACCGATGGGCTGAGGCCAACTGCATGAAGTTCAACAAGGTCAAGTGCCGGGTCCTGCACCTGGGGCGCAATAACCCCAAGCAGAGCTACAGGCTGGGAGATGAGTGGTTGGAGAGCTGCCTGGCAGAGAAGGACCTGGGAGTGATGGTGGATGGTAGGCTGAATATGAGCCAGCAGTGTGCTCAGGTGGCCAAGAAGGCCAACGGCATCCTGGCTTGTATCAGAAACGGTGTGACCAGCAGGGCTAGGGAGGTGATCGTCCCCCTGTACTCGGCTCTGGTGAGGCCGCACCTCGAGTACTGTGCTCAGTTTTGGGCCCCTCGCTACAAGAAGGAGATGGAGGTGCTTGAGCGGGTCCAGAGAAGGGCGACGAAGCTGGTGAGGGGCCTGGAGAACAAGTCCTACGAGGAGCGGCTGAAGGAGCTGGGCTTGTTCAGCCTGGAGAAAAGGAGGTTCAGGGGCGACCTTATTGCTCTCTACAGGTACCTTAAAGGAGGCTGTAGCGAGGTGGGGGTTGGTCTGTTCTCCCACATGCCTGGTGACAGGACAAAGGGGAAGAGGCTTAAGTTGCGCCAGGGGAGTTTTAGGTTGGATCTTAGGAAGAACTTCTTTACCGAAAGGGTTGTTAGACATTGGAACGGGCTGCCCAGGGAAGTGGTAGAGTCACCATTCCTGGAGGTCTTTATAAGACGTTTAGATGTAGAGCTTAGGGGTATGGTTTAGCGGAGGACTGTTAGCGTTAGGTCAGAGGTTGGACTCGATGATCTTGAAGTCTCTTCCAACCTACAAATTCTGTGATTCTGTAAATATTTATTTGGAGAAGTTTTAGCATCTTCCCCATCTCAGTAGCACATATTAAGCAAGGAGTGTTGCCTACATATTCATTCTTAGTCCATTGCTCTCTAATTTCTAATCCCATGTTTCACAACGAGAAGCAGCCCAACGATCAAGCGCAGCAAGGACCTGGGCCGGCACCCCGGAGCCCATGTGGCCGCCTGGCACCGCAGAACTACAGCTCCCAGCACGCCTCGGGACGGAGCAGCCCACCTGACCCTGCAGGGACTCTGGAGCACCCCCCCCCCACCGTGGCCCTCCCCTCCTCTGCTCGCTCTGCACTATGGCAGCTTCCAACGTCCCATCCTGCCCATGCTGTATCTCTCCAGGTGCCCACACAGGTTCCGAGGGAGCCTTTAGACCGCCTCCCTGGTAAGGCAGCTTGTGCTGACGGGCCTGCTTCAGTGCCCCGCACCTCTTGCTGGGGGAGCAAGCTCTCCTTTTCTGAGAACTTGCTTCTTCTTTCCAAACTGAACCTTCCCTGGCAAGGCCTGACAACCACCACCATACGAGAACAGATGTTTTACTAAGACACACTGAGAAAAGCAGGGATGGAAAGGCAGTTGTTGGGGTGGGAGTCTTCTTCCTTTAAGGAGTCCATTCTCCTGTCCACGTTGGCTTTCATGCGAGCTGCCGGGCGGGAGAAGCTCCGTCCTCCTGATGTGCCCTCCAGGCTGTAGAGGCGCCCCAGTAAGGAGAGGCAGCGGGTCTGCTGAAGCATCCAGGCTAGCTTCTTCCTCCTGACACACAAGAGAAACTGCTGAGCCCAGAGGCGCGGCTGTAGAGCACCAAACCAGACTGGGCAGGGGAAAGTGGGGTGGCAGCTGAGACACGTACACCTCCTCAGAGGAAGGGAGCTGGTGCTGGAAGGGCTGCCGGCATGGAAGTGGGCAAATGAAGAAGTGCTGCCAGGGGCAGCCAACTGCTACAGAAGGTGTGCTGGCACTACAGCACCGGGGGGGAAGTGATGCCAGGCACCAGCAGGAGAAGGACTATCGCAACTCTGAGCCTTCTCCTCATCACGCCCTCCCTCCCCCCCCCCAACCTTAACCCAACCCCATCCCGTCCCTTGAGGTCACTGCCTTCCTTCCCCTGTTAAGCCCGTCCTCGCTGTTCACATCTCTCTGTTCCCAGCCACCCCGGCCTCATCCGAAACGTGCCAGCAGGTGCATCCCTCGGCACAAGCTGCTTTCTACGCAAAGGCCCAGGGACTGCACAGGGGGGCAGCGTGAGGCTGCACTGGCCCCTGTTTGACCCACACGTTGTGCCTTAATGCCTCAGTCCTGCTAATGAGCTGTGGGACAGCTTAGGCGTGGCCTGAAGTCCAGGCCATAGCAGGGACACCCCCTGCAAGAAGGGCATCTCCCTGCCGCTTTACCTCCGCTTTGAGGCTGAAGAAGGTCGCCTTCTCAAAGCAGTCTAACACAGTTGCTGTCTTCCCCATGGAGTTCCTCAGGACCTCTGCTTCGCTGAGCTTCATAAGGGCCTTTGAGCAAGCACACAGGCAGCAGGTGAGCATCGATGCAGAGCCCCCAGCTAGCTCCACCCTTCCCTCTTGCCTCCTGTGGCACCTGCCTTAGGAGGGCCCGCATCTCCCCATGTGATCCCTGCCCTAGCACAGTGCCCCGTGGGCTCAGAGCTCAGGCACTAAGGGAGCCTTCAGACTGCCTCCCAGGTAACGCAGCTTGTGCTGACGGGCCTGCTTCAGTGCCCCGCGTCTCTTGCTGTGGGAGAGGCAAAGCGCAGGAAACAGTCCGGCTCTGCCCCCACTGTTTCTTTTGGGAGGCCCCTCAGCGGGCATGTCCTGTTGCAGTGCACTCCAGGTGCAGTGCGTGCTGGCAAGCAGGGTCACTCACCATGTAGCTGTTGGAGACGTGCAGGTAGCCAGCCGCACACTCCAGCAGGTAGTAGAAGGCTCGGGAAGCATTGCCTGTTGCCACATAGTGGCGAGCCAAAGGCACAAGCACTGATTCAATGACGGCTTCGCATTTGCAGGAACACTTTCCACTGTCCTTCTCTTTGGTCCTGCTGGGCTGCGCAGTTGTCCATTTGCCCTCTGGTGGAAAAAGCTCTGACGCTCTGGTCAGAGGCAGGTTGCCAGGAAAAGAAGAGAGCAAAGAGCAGATGAGCATCACCTGAGATGACCCTGCTCTCCCTACGGGTAGCAACAAAACCCTATTTCCTGCTGTCTCATCCCAGCTCCCACCCCACAGCCAGCCTCCTCCTCCCAAAGCTGGAGTCCCAGCCAGCAGCCAAATGGCAGAGCTCCATCTGTCTCCTCTGGAGCTCGCTCGTTTCCACAATCATCAGAACCTTGTCTCCTCACCTGAACTCCTCCTCCGAGAAAGCCTGCTGCGGCTGCAGGGCATTTGCACTACCTGGGAAGAAGAGAGCGTGTCAAGGGACTCCCCATGTAGCCCGGGCTAAGAGCTGCAGGCTTGCAAGGGTCCTGCCGAGCAGACCCAGGGCACAAGAGCTGCGGTGATCGTCCTCGTCCCCTGGCTTATCCCTGGTGCTGGGGACCCGGTGGGCCCCAGCCTGCATGGGCCTGGACTTCCAGAAGGAGGGGGCTCCGCAGCAGGGCACACAGCTTACCTTCAGGGATGTGAGTCCTGTCCTTCTTCAGCTGTTCTCCAGCGAGCACCAAGGCCTCCCAGCTGTGCCAGTCATCCTCGGCAGCAGAGCCCTGGCAGTTTTCCCTGTCCTGGGGACTGGGGACGGTGAAGCGGTGGAAGGCCACAAAGTCCCCTCCTTGGCAGCTCTGGCATTTGTGCGCGTGCTTCTCCAGGAAGGCAGCACACTTGCACTGCGTGCTGGCCCTCTGTCTCTTGGGCCACAGCTCGTAGGCTGCCTCCTGCAGCAGTGGGGCACAGAAGGCCAGAACGCCAGCCTGCTGCTCCGTGGTCTCCTTGCTTGTAGACGGCCTCTCCACCCCTGCAAGGCAATGGATGGTGGCCTCAGCCAGAGTGGTAGAGACATTCCCAACAGCCGCTGGGAATTTCCCTCTGCACAAAGCTGGTGGGGGAAGGCCTCCTTCAGCTACAGCACTCCTGGGTCTACCTTACTGCCACCACTTACCGCTCCCTGCCTGCTGAGAGGTGGCCGGCCCCTCTCGAGCATCTTGGATGTCTCTGGGCACCCCTGTGTCCTTCAGCCACTTAAGGATGTTGTCGCTCACCAGCCCGTCCAACCAATAATTCATGTGCTGCCTGGTACAAGTGGGAAGGATGTGAGCCAGCAGCTGGGTGGTAAACACTGGCCCTATGATGGCTGCAAACTTCAAAACCATCTGCTTCTGCAGCGTGATCCGGTCCAGCTCAGCCAGTGCAATCTCTGTCAAGAAGAAGCAAAACGTCTCTCTCTTTTGTGTCCTGGAGCCTGAGCAAGGAGAGGCTGGACAGTTCCACCACAGGAAACAGGGTAGACTTTGGCCTCTCTTCCTCAAGATGGCACCTGCTGGGCAATTGGAGCCCAGGGGAATGTCTTCAAGATGGCTCCACTCCTCTTGCAACCACAGGCCACAAGGCCCAGGGATAAGAGCTCCTCCACCAAGGATGGGGAGGGCACGACCCTGCGGGTACATGCGACCCGTGATGCGACCTACCAGAGCTGAACTAGGCTGACGCCCAGCAGCGCACACAGAGAGCAGAGAGCGCTTTCAGCACCTCAGAGCTGGACTTGGAGCTCCCCACAACTGCTGTGGGCCTCACAGCTGGCCCACAGCCCGGAGGGGGACATCTGTGCCCTTAAGCACAGGGCTCTGTCTGCTCAGACCAGAGTCGCCTTCCTGGCAGGGCCCCCCACGCTGAGAGGGTGCTTCTGCAGCATGCCGATGCCCATCCCCTCTCTCACGTGCACCCCAGGAAAGGACCCCAGCACAGCCGCGAACTCAGCCCCTCACCTTTCAAGGCGGCTGGCAGCACGGTGGTCTCCAGGCTGACGTCTGCTCTGATAGTGCAGACCCTGCCACTGTTATTCCCAGCACTGGAGCTTGAGGTGGCTGAGACAATGAGCGAAGCCTCGACTGCTGAAGCTGGGAAGAGAGAGAGAGAGCATGAACAAGGTGGGGCAAGTCCAACCTGTCACGGTTGGGTGCACTTCATGGCCCGCACCAAATGCGGTCAGTGAGCAGGGCAAACCGGTTTCCACTGCAATGGTTTTGTCTGCATTGCCCTTGCAACTCTTTTTCTGCCTTCGGACCTGCTGCCCAGCTGTACTGAATGAATATCCCGCAACAGAACACAGCGGTTGCTACCTTTGACAGCGCTCCCTCCCACAGCCAGGGAAATTGCCAGTGATAATCCAAAAGGCAAAGCCCGTGCAGGCTGTCCCCAGGGCAACAGCACTCTGCTTGGCATTGCTCTTACAATTACTGCTCTTACGTTACTGCCAAGCTCCTCAGTTCCCAGCGCCTTTGCGGGCATTTCTGGTTTTGGATTACGCTTTCCCAGGTCTGACCCTCTCCTGCAGAAGGGCTTTCTTCTCGAGGGAGCTGGTGGCTTGCCAAGGTGACAGCAAGGTGTGCAGGAGCCCACACCTCAGCCAGATCAAGTTCTGTCCTGCTGCCAGATCGGACTCTGCCCAGAGTCACTGGAAAGCCACAGGACACGGTCATGTGTGTGTGTGTGGGGGGGGGTGGGTGACGTGCAACAGCATCTAGCCAGTCCGCAACAAGAGTGCTTACCGATCAAGCCCTCCCAGTTGTCCTCTACTTTTTTGTCCTGCTTCCCAGTGCTGAACAAGAGCATGTTGTTGCGACGCAGGCAGTGCAGCAGTTCCTCACAGTAATATGGGATGCCAGAGCTTCTTTGGATCAGGAACCTGGGCAGGAGCAGACCCAGCAGTGACCAACACCAGGGAAGTATGGTGCAACACAGTTCTGATGGGCTAGTGGCGAGTCACTCAGGCCTCACAGGGTAACCAGCCTCTTTGTCACAGCTATGGCTCACTTCAGAAGGGGGCGGTCCTCCCACTGGCTTGGGCGTTTGGGACCCCTGACCCTACACTGTTTGCTGGAGTCTGTGGGGAAATGGTCGTGGGCAATGTCCAAAGCACAACACAGCAAGCCTGATCTTCCCTGTCCTCAGGAGCCCAGATCTGCTCTGGCAGCTGGCTGGACCCCCTGCTCCTGGGAATCCCTACTGCAGCCTGGCTACATTGGTCAAAGCCTTTTTGACACCTCAGCCACGCTGAGGCTTGGGTACCCATCTCCCTCTGCTCTCCTCTCTCCTCTTCTCTCCCTTTTCCTCCCTGCCTTGCCCTCCCTCCTCTGCAACAGCAAAGGGCTGTCACTGCCCATGTGCTGCGTCCTGGGAGCTGCCTATTCTTAGCTCACACCTGCTGTGGTGGTTCTTAAGGAGAAACCCAGGTCCTTGCTGGAGTCAAGAATGCTGCCAGAAGGCCCCATGCTTCCTTTCCTGCGGGGCGACTTCCTTCCGTGGCAGCATAGGTCCAACCCCTCCGGAAGAGCTCCCTGGCCTGTAACATACCTTGCTAGATCCCTGGGGATGCTGACCACTCCAAGGTCCTGGCAGACTTTCTGCACCACAGCTGCAGGTTTCAGCTCTTCCAGATGAAGACAGCTGATTCTCTGGGACGTTGTGCTGTCTGCTGCAGCTTTGAAAAAGCTCTCCGTTCTCTCGTGGCCAGGAGCTAAGCTCATCACCATAAAGAGCGTGACGCTTTGGAGCACGGGCCACATGACAGTCCAGGAGGCAGGGTCGATGAAGTGGGCGTTGTCGATGACAAATATGCCAAATTCTCCTCCAAGGGTCTGAAAAAAACAGATGGTTCTGCGTGGAGTCTGGCGGATTCTCAAGCATCCTCTAGGGGAGGAGATGTAGCCTCTCTCCGGAGACGGAGAATACTCAGAAGTCTCTCCCCAGCCGCTTCCCTCTTCAGAAGCTTACTGGCTTTTCATTTCTGCAAGACTTTAAGGCCTCCTCGAACATCACTTGCCCTTCTGAAGAAGGGAGCTTGGGCAAAGGAATGCAGAAGGCGTCAATCCTCCTCCAGGGCACATAGCCTCCAACTTAACAGGAGGCGAGCTACGACGAGGCATATGGGGAGGGCGTGAGAGGGGCTTCTGGGAGGAGGGGCTCCTGGGCCCTGAAGGGCGGTGACCCTGGCACATCGTCCTGCTGCCCACTCAGGCTGTTCTGATGTGGAGCCTGCAGCGGGCAGGGTTGTTTTCTTTCCCTGACCCAGGCAGAAGGAGGAACGCTCACCTTCTGTAGCACTTTCTTACAAGTCTTCTGCAACTCCCTTTTCATTTGAAGGTCACGCATCTGGCGAACCTTGTCTGAGATGGCAAACTGGACAGGAAAGCAGAGTCAGAAAGAAACATCATCCTGGGACCAGGCATGCCTATCCACCAAGCTAGACGGCAGAGCAAAGCGCCTCTGCTTTTGCATGAGGTCAGTGCAAGCCTCTCTTCACTGGCCTTTCCAGGGTGCTGACCAAGACACCTGGCACATGCACAGGACATGAAGTCACCACAGACAAGGAGCCTCCCTGGACCCAGGAATCAGAACGGGGTGCTATGAGCACTGCAACTCCCAGCCCAGCAGAACACCCAAACAACCACCAGACTACCTCAGGAGGCCTCCCTCTCGCTCTCACCTTGACGAGGAAAATGTTGTTGAGGAGGCAATATCTGCTCTCTTCTATCACCCCTTGGAGCTTGGCCTGCAGGGTGCGCTGCCAGTCCTCGCACGTTTCACCTGCCTGCAGTCCCAGGGCCCTGGCCACCAGCATACGGATGGCAGAGAAGTGCTGCCTCATGTTGGCCTCGGTCAGTTCCATGGTGACAACCCTGCGGTGCAAAAGCAAAAGGCACTTGAGCTGCAGAAAAGGCCCCCAGTAGCCCACACCTGCCAAGACAGGAGAGTTAGAGACGCACGCTGCCTGGTTCTTACTGCAAAGGAACGCAGGGTGCACAGTCCCGGGGGTGGGGGCGGAGGGCCAGGCACAGGGCAGATGCATCGCAGTCTTCCACGAACGTCAGGGGACTGGCATGGGAAGGGTCTCAAAAAACCCACTTACCTGTGCCCAGTGGCCTGGCCCAGAAAGGCCAGCTCAGTAAGTAAGCGGCTCTTTCCAGAGCCCAGAATGCCTGCATACGCCAGGATGCGCAGCTGTCCCAAAGTCTCGTAGGCCTTCAAGCTGCGTTCAAAGAGGTCAATCTCCACCTCCCAACCTGTGAAGACCAACCAGGAAACAAGCTGTTGCAGCATGCTGAAAAGCAGGGCAGCATTCCCTTTTGCTGGCACGGCGGCTTCCCTCCACCACGTCAGCAAGCCTGCCTACACCCAGGCCTCCTTCCAAGCCCCTCAGCTCAGCTTTGGCACCACTGCCTTCCTTAGAGCTCTAACAGAGCCGCCTGCCCGCTGGCCACACGGCGCAGCTTGTAGGAGCTCTTTCCCCTCCGCTTCTCCTCCCACAGGCAACGAGATTCAGCCAGCTGGACGCAGCTCCCCACACTGATCCAGCCCAAGACTGGAGGGCACACCTGGAGACACTGCAGGCAGCATCGCCCAAAAGGCATGCCAAACATCTCACTGCACCCTGAGCCCCAGAGCTCTTGCCAGCACCCTGTAGCTAAGGTGGTGTCTTCGGGCCTGTTGTGGTTTTGGCTGCGATACAGCTCCTTGTCTTCACAGGAGCTTGGAGTGTGCTGTGATGTGGTGGACTTGCCACCAAAGGAACACCAAGAACACACTGAACTCTTGCCGAGCAGTGCTGGCACAGTGTCAAGGCCTCTGCAGTTTCTCATGCTGCGCCACTAGCCAGCAGGCTAGAGGAGGGAGGAAGGGAGGGAGGGGGCTGTGTGGGGCTCAGCTGCCTACCGGGGTTAACCTCCAGCAAGGCGCACCGCTTTGGGCAAAGGGAAGCAGCTGGGGTTCTGAAGAGCGAGGACTTCTCTACCTACCCAGCAAGGGGCCACAGTCTGACCTCTTGGTACGATCCGTGTCAAAGATGCTAGAAGCGGGAGAAGACAAAACATGAGTTTCACTTAGTTGGTCAGAAGCCAGGGAATATAGAGCCTGCTGTGTTAGGGGAGGAGACCCTCCGCAGGTAACTGCTTTTCTTTCCAGCAGCATGCTGTCCGGAGCATGCTCCCCGGCCAACATTCGAGTGGACATGCCAGGACAGCTTCAAGCACAAAGAAGGCCAGCAGCCATGGCGGGACAGCAGAAGGTGTTGGGAGTCCCTCGCCAGAGGCCAAAACCAAAGAAAGCCCAGATGGGGCAAAGAAGCCAGGGTGTGCTGTTGGCTAGGTAGACTGCTTTGCCACCCTGGACAAGCAAAAGAAGCCTCTTGGAAAGGAGGACCTGTGTCACTTAGTGGCTCAGGACAACAAGCACCTGGCACCTTTGGCTCAAGTCTTTTGATAGTTTTCAAGAGACAGTAACGTTAACATCCAAAAGGTCCTCCAACCCTGGCCCGGAGGGACAGCTGAGAACTGAGCAGGCAGACAGGAGGAAGAGTGGCCCAGTGGCCCACCTTTCCCCAAGGCGACATGACTGACCCAAAGCTTCCTGCGCAGAAGGAGCTGGGAAAAAAAATCCTCCTTGCAACAGAATGACCTCTGCCTTAGCCTTGCACATAGTGAAGCAAACACAGGGCAGGGAACCCAGCGGAAAGCCGCTTGGAAAAAGCCTGCATGGCTAGCGTGCGTCTCCAAAGCCAGGACAACCTTCCGCATGCCACTGGCGTCACTCGCAGCTCTCTTAGCAGCAGGAGACACAAGCGCAGAAAGGCACAAAGCAGACCCATGCCAGGCCTTTGGATCTTCTTGGCCACAGGGAAGGGATTTCTGTGGGAGGCCAGGCTGGTCTCTTGCTGCACAGCTCCTCTTTACCGGTCAAGGTTGCACCCTTGGCTTCCCTTGTGGCCCCATCCAGATGGCTCGGAAGACTCTCACCACTTGTCAGTGATCCCCACATATTGATAGACAGGGCCGGGATCTGTAACACCTTTCAACGCTGTCTTCGGCAACTCCTTGAAGAGGTAACTGGGCAGGCGAGAAGCCTTGTAGGTGTCTTCATCACAGGACACCAGCCTGGGGTAGTGCACCATCAAGCGGGCACCCAAATTCGCCTTATGGCCAATCACTGCCATGGAGAGAGAACACATTGACATGGTTAGGAAAGCAGCCTTGCCCCACCCTTCAAGGCCAAGGGCTACTCCCCCTTGCTGTCCATAGGTGCATGCCTAGTGCACTGCACCAATGAGCACACAGAGCGAAGATCTTTTAATTAAGTAATTCATTATATAAATATATATATATATTATATAATAAAATAATTTATTATATAACTCTGCAGAGTCAGGTGCTTGGCTATCTTCCGCAAAGCCAGCACACCTCTGACTTGAATCACTGTTACTTATACACAGCAAACTTGTGAAAGTTATCTCTTTGGGTACTTTTGATTGGCTATTACAGCTCACCTAACTTATGTCTCCTGAGTTTGCACATTACAGAGAAAGAGTGGGGGCTGGGGAAGCAGGGACACACCAAATCCCACATTAGCATACGTTAGCATTTTGATGGGTACGATTTTTAATACGTTTACGACCCTTAATGAGCAAAAGGTTACTACAGATTAGTCTGGAGCTGTTGTTCTCCTCCTTGTTTTCACCTTTTGTCCCTTATCTCCCTTGCTTCTGCTAGCTCAAGGCTACCTGTCTCTCTGTTCCCTTATTCTCTCACCTAAAAGACTATACAAGCTATAGAAATACTACACAAGCTACAGGCCTCTCTATATTCTTCAAGGTTTCCTTGTTTCTTTCCCAGCTTTGGGACTACACCCTCAGGCACAGGTCAACCCCGCAGCAGGGCAAGCGGACCCAGCGGGAACCACAAGTCTGAGGCCATTCTCCCACCTCAGGTGGAGACCCGTGACATCTGGGCCGCTCTCAGCAGGCTGTAGCATATGTGCTTGCCCCAGCCTTCCCATCTCTTCATGACTGACGTGCTTAAGCACACCCATGCCAGCCTCCCACTCTTCAGACTAAGGTGTGGTACCTGTATGTTCAGCCCTCTCCGGATGGCCACAGAGGCCGCAGAACATCGTCCCGCTGGTGACCCCAATAGACATTGCCCTGGCACACAGGGAGAGAAGTGCAAATTCAGTGGTGCCCCAGGTGCAGTCCTGCTCGCCCTGCTCTGCCACTTCCCACGTCTCCCCTTGGCACCAACCAGGGGCACCACAGCCGGTGCGTGCCTTGGGGACTTGGAGAGCTCGGGGCACCACACAGCCCACCCACAAGGGACGTGGGGAGGGTGCACGCAAGATGGCTTGGACCCTTCCCCTGAGGCCCAATGGCTGCGACCTGCAGCAGGCCACAGCCCCTCTCACTAGTGGAGGAAAGCAGGTGCTACCCACAGAGCACCTACAATGCCAGCGACTTTGAGATTAGGCCCGAGCCCTGTTCCTGGCAGGCTCTGCTTGGAGGGACTGCGCCTGGCTGCCGTGAGCTAAGCCCAGGGGCCACCTGCTTCTTCTCAGGGTGCTGCCTCAGTCCTGCCAGGGACAAAGGAGGCCAAGCCAGGAGGCCACGTCTCTTGCTGGTCAGCCCCCTTGCGCTGTTCTAGGCAGCACGCATGCCCTGCAACACCGCCACACACTCACTCAAGATTCCTCAACGACGTGGAGCACGTGCTGAAGATCTGAAGAGCGCTGTCCAAGGCATGGGTGCTCTCGTGATGCAGCTTTGCTCCAGACATTCCGAACACACAGAGGAATGTGCAGCCCTGCAGAGGACAGATGCAACACATCTGGTTACAGTGCCTATGGCCAGCAGCTAATGCCGTTCCATTGCAGTCGCCAGGGAGACCAGTACAGCTGCAGGTCAACACAAAGCCACAGAGGACTGATCCCACCAGCAAGGCAGAGCTGCTCCTCAGTCCCTCTCCACTACACAGACACAGGCCACCCTCGGGGGGTGGGATTGCTCCCCCACGCTCACCTTATCAAACAGAAGGCTTTTGTTGATTTCGCCCTTGTGAGGACTGATGATTGTTGAAATCATCCTGGTGGCATCACAGAGGCCCCTCTGAAGATCCAGTATGTCGGCATTTGCAGAAAACCGCAGCTGGATAAAGAGGCTGGTGACTGGCCGTAGCTCAGACCACAGGTGCAGCGGCATATCCACGTCCAGCTGGAAGTGAAGAGCACGACAGCTTTGCCAGCCTGTTCTCCCGGCGGTTCCTCTGGGCCCGTGCCACGTACCAAGGGAGATCAGGCATGTTGGCAATACCAGGTACTACTGGAGGAAGGGTAAGTCCTCTGCTCGGTGCCAATCGCAGGCCAGCCTGCGGCAGGCAGGTCATAGCAGAGTCATAGCACAAACGACAGAGGGGAATGTTCCAGCAACACTCCATCTTGTGGCAAGTACGGATGTGAGGGGCGACCCTCTGGCACGTCCCAGGGACTTGAGCAGACTCGCCCCCTTGTCCTCGCCTCGTGCCCACAGCACGTCCAGAGCAAGAGTCATGGAAAAGACAGAGGCAAGTCCACTTCCCGCCACCCGTGCCTCTTTGAGGAGCAACACAAAATGGGCAGTTGCCTGGCACATGCGGCACCACTAAGCCTGGCATCAGGTCCCCTGGGTTCCCTCCCCAGGGTGCTTTTTCTTCCATTTGCCTGTTTTCACGAGAGCTCCACCCATGCAACGCACACCTTCTTCTGCCCTCCCAAAATGAAGCCTCCAGCAGCAGTGGCCTTACCTTCCTGAGAGCAGCTTCTGGTATGTACTTCTGCATCTTTGCTGCCGCTTTAGGATCATTGGACACGTGAAAAGGTGGCCTTTGGTGCCCTAAGGGAAGCAAATGCAGGCCTTCACTGGCAGGATGGGACTAGAAGGGGGTTGAAAGACGGGGCTGGCACTGGGCAAAGCAGAGCAAAGATTCTTTGGCGTTTCCTCCTGCTCCCCTCTGCAGCTGCTTGGCCAGAGCCGTGCCCTGGAAGGAGGGGATGGCAGCGACAGCCTCAGCTGAAGCACAGGAGGGACAAAGGCACGAACGCTGACTGAAAGGTGGAAGAGGGCAGGGGGAGTTCCTCCCTGGAACTCTGAAGCAGGCAGGCCCCATTTTTCCAGCCAGTCTCAGAACATGGTGAAGCAGGGACTCACTTAGCCTTTCCAAACGCCGCATCTTCGCGTGTTGGTCAAACTGGCCTGCAGCATCTTCGCGTTCTGATCCAGACATGTGCTCCGTCCTCTGAACCTGCAGACACGCAGAACAAAAGTACTGCCACTGGCCTCCCCAAGGAGCCCCGGGAGACACAGCCTGCCCCTCCCCTCTCACTTTCCAGAGAAGGGCAGAACCTCTTGGTGCAGCAAGCCCACCTCTCTGGCTTTTCAGCTGGGACAGAAGTGCCTCCTCAGAAGGACCAGAGCCACACAGGCATCACCCAAGCATGCCCCAGCTCTCCAGGACAGCTGCGCGACCCACAGGGGACATTGCTGGTGGGGCCCACACCCTTCCTGTGCTTCCCTCGGCCAGTCACACCAAGCAAGCACTACCCAGAGCTACCCCTGAGGTGGAAGGGCAACTGCTTCAGCTCTCTACCAACCCTTACAGCTACAACTCTCTCCACATCCAGCGCCTCAGCCTTCTAGCACCTGCCTCCTTCCCTCTCAGGTGCGGGTCTTCAGAGAGGCTCTAGAGGCCAGCCCGTCCACCTACCTTCAGAACCCGTTTGCCACCAAGAAGCCTGGTCTGGATCTGTTCCTGTTCACACAGCTCCCAGCAGGTGGGCGAGACAATCACTTCACTTGTAACCGCAAGGTTTTGGGCCTTCATAACTTCATCCAGGGCGTTGCTGCAGACGAAGTACTGCTGATGGTACCTGTCTCCAGCAGACAGTATGGTCATTTGCCCTGCGGAGATCCCTGGCGAGAGAGCAAGAAGCAGCATTGACACCAGGGAGCAGCAGCAGGCAGCAGCACTGGAGAGTGCCAGGGCTGTGCACGAAGCTGGAGATATTGTGCTGGTGCAGGAGCTTCAGGAAGCGGTTGATCTCCGGGTACATGATGGGCTCTCCCACCAGTGACAGCGCGCAGTGCTTTGCTGTCATTGCTTCCTCAAAACGATCTGCTTTTACTCCTGCCACTCCTGCAAAAAAGACGGAGAACTGGCATAAGTTGCATATAACCTCCCCCTGAACCATGCATCCATATCTAAAATATACCCTGTCACCAAGTAAAACCAGCTAGAGCCTTCCTGAACCAGAGAGAACACCAAGCCACAGACAGAGACCACCAAGACAGCTCTGCAGGAACCCAGAAAGCAGTGTATGGCCAGGCACACAAAATTCAGGGCTTTGTGTGCACAGTTAACTATTGCAAGTGATTCTTCTTAGTAACGTTTGAGTCAAACTTTCCCTTGCTAAGACCTCAGTGATGCTGCCTGAATGCTGAGACAAGCACCAGAGCAAGTTCAATTCCACTTCGAGTTGGCATTTAAAAAACAAATAGGTTCTGTTTCTCTCCAATGCTAACCACAGACTGTGTTCCAGCCCCACAAGAACAAGCTCCTCAGTGAGGTGGGCCTGGCTCCTTCGAGCAGAGCCACAACCACCAGGTCTGAATCAGCATCAGCCACCACGTGCAATGCAACCCAACAGAGGATGTGCTCAAAAGAAACCTCAACACATGACACTGTCTTGAATAGTGAGAGCAGTTCCAGAACAAAGACAGAAAAGCGAGGAACTCAACTGCAGCATCCACGTGAAAATACCATCTGCAGGTTTAACTGACCCGAGTCACATTTACTGCACCCACAGGAGGGCAGGAGAGAGATGAGCACTGCTCCTGCCCATCCATACCTGACTAAGTGCTCAGCACCCCGCATGAAGCCATCTGACTACAAACAAGCTTTTGTTCCAAATGTGTCACTTCACATTTCCTTGATGTGCCTTGATGTACTTGAATAATATCTGAGGTTTCAGATTGGGGGTTGGTCTGTTTCAAAAAACAAAGACTTAAGTTTGAAACCAGGTCCTCAGCTCACCTCCCGTTGCCTAGACGCTGGAGCTCAAGCAGTACAGAAAATTACATGCTATGCTGCAAAGCCAAGATAAAAAGAGGTGTTCGTGGATATCGCTTCAGCCTCACGTAGAAAAGCTGGTTTGTGATCAGAGTGAAGCTTAGTGCATTTTAAACCAGCAAGGCTCTGTCCTGAATAGGTGACAGGACTAATGGTTACTCTGCAGAAACTTGACAGCGCTAAATGAGAACTTTATTTGAAAAGAAAGGAGCATCTCAACCACACACGGAGATTAAAGGACTTAACTTTTGTTTTCCTAAAGCTACTTTAGGTCATTTTGGGAATTAATTTCTCTCTCAGTATCTTGCAATTGGACTACAGTAATTACACTGCCAGCTTTATAAGCAGACAGAAGAAAGTGCCAACATCACGAAGTTCGAGAGTAACTTTCTCAAAATGGTTTACATCAAACCTGGCATACAGTAAATACACTCCAGAGGAGAGTAGAGGTTTTATATGTGATCATTTGACCACATAAATCACGAGCTAGACAGAAGTAAACTAAACAGGATTAGTGGGTACTCCAAGGAGTACATGAATGCTGCCGTACGTGTGGCTGCCCTACCACTCCAGCGCTCGGCCTCTGCCCCTGCAGATGAGCCCCCTTCTGTCTTCAGCCAGCAATGGACTTCAACAAAGGCAGAGCTCGGGCAGATGCCACATGGCATGCGGCAAGTCCCACACAGGTGCAGGAGCTGGGAGCCACAGGAGCTTGAGATGCCTCTGCAAGAGCGATGCACAGCTTCCAGCTCAGATCTCAGCGGAGCGTGCAGCCAAGCCACCTCTGAGCTGCAGATCTCCTTTGAAAAGCTGACTCCAGCTGCTCTCCTACTGACACACTTCAATTTCAGAAAGGAAAGCATCATCTGGCACGTCACCCTGTTCAGGCTGGCTGCCGGCTTCGTGCATCCCTCTGCAAGTACCTGTGCTACTGCCTGGGGTGCAAGGAGCACATTTTATGCATGCTTACATCAAGACACACAGGTCTTCCCAGATCTCATTTTAAGACCTGTGTTTTGAGTGATTCCCACAAAGCTGCTCCCTGTAAGCTGGCAGGATTTCCTAGTTTAGGTCATGTGCTTATTTGTTCATTTTTCCCCCAAGCTAAACAAGGGCTCTATTAGAGACACCCACTCTTGTTTTTTGAATTATGTTTCCATTCTGTGCGTGCCCTTCACAAGGGCACTGAGATTTACTAGTCACCACCTAGAAAAGGTATCCATCAAATAAACTGCTTCACACCTTCCCACCTCAGCTCCCTATCAGGAAGATGTGTCTCCATAAGTTACTCTAAGAGAGAATTATGTGACATTAATTAACATCTCTAGTCTTCAAAACCTGTACACACTATGGCAACATTAAAAGAGGGAAGAAGGTATCTTTAAAAGCATGCAGAGAGACTCTTGCAGGATGAAGAGCTATCCTCTAGGATACATTATAGGAGAGAGGGTCTGCAAATATTTTTTGTTCTTTCAGGGAACATCTTATTTTTACTACAATGTGTGCAGATAACAACGCAACACAATAAGTCTCCTCTCCCTTTGGTGCACAGAGATGTCTGTACCAGAATGCAAAGCTGTGGTACTGGTACTACGAAGAGCACAAATTTATTCAAATGTTATCTGAGCAACATTACCAGACTCAAGAGCCATGAAGACGAAGACATTTTCCCCATGCTTTTCTTCTCCAGCAGCTCAAATTCTCTGCTCTACACTGGGATCAGCATTCAAACTCCTTGGCAGATGTGCACAGCACCCAGCTGGAAACTTGACCGGTGTCATTGGAGCAGCCCACGGAGCCCAGCTGCAATCCATCTTCCCTCTACACTCTCTCCCTCTTCAACAACGCAATCTAGTCCATCACTCTGCTCAAACATACATGTATTACCTATTTATCTTAAAATCAATCATTGTAAAATCCAACCCAGTATTTGCGTTGCGCCGCTGGGTTTGCTCTGAGCTCCAGCCCAGATGGAGCACAGCTCTGGCAGGCGCACAGGGGGTTCCCCGTGGGTTCCCCCTGGGTTCAGGGCAACACTTCTAATCAATTTTGCTCTGACATGGTTCTATTCTAGCCATTTTTCACCTGCACCTCAGGGAAACAGTGTAGAATTCACAAAATGTAACAGCTAGCTACTGGTCTTAATTTTTTCCTGTTTTTCTTCTCCTGAGAACACTTGCTCTTAGGCTCCCAAGACAGGGAGTACATTACCATCTATTACTCTGCAGTAACAACGCCCCCCCCCCCTTTTTTTTTTTCCACTTTGCAACACAGTTCTAGTCCAGAGCTTTTTTTTTTTCCCCCCTCCAGTCACTCCTCTCACAGTTCCAGGTCAAGGATAACTGTGCTGAGGAAGCATGTGCGAGTTTCAGGCATTGTTTGGGAATCTATTTAATGGAAAATACACTCCAGAAGAGAGAATTGGATCGTCTTTACAGACCTCTCAACACTCTGGGAATACTTTCAGATGCTGCCAAGTCATGCTTGAGTCTTTCCTCCTTCCCAGCCCTTTTTGGGAATGCATCAAGGTGTATCATGGGGAGAAGAGGGTTACTCCAGAGTTCGAAGCTGGGTTTAAACCAACTCCTGTACTTAGCTTTCAGAAGGCCAGGCTTTCAAACAGCTGCAGAATAAGCTGCTTTTCACCTTCTTGTAATGCAAACAAGAACACATATTCTGCCATACAGGAGCAACATTTCTATCACACTGCAGTGCACCAACACTGCATGCAGGAATTGCCCTTGACTCACACAGAAACGCACCCTGTGCTCCATCACAAACTGCAGGCAAACCCAGTCATCATCTGAAACAGCACGTGGCTTTTTTCAAGGTGAATGTAAGTGACGATTTTGAACTCAGGTCCTACCTGATAAAAGAGGATATATATTTTTAATTTCTTTCAGGACTTTTGATTTTAACAGGTATAACACAAGTCACAGAACTACTGGTCAGAAGGGACTGCCACAGGTGTCTGGGCCAGGCTCCTGCTCAGAGAGGACAGCTGCCAACACTACTGGGGCAGTAACAGATTTGCTTAGAAGACTTGAAAGCCTCCAAGGCTGGACGGTCTCCCCTCCTCTCTGGCGACCTGTCCGAGAGCTGCACCACCTTCCCTGTGCAAGCTTATTCTTATGTCCAGCCTGAATCTATCAAACAGCAACCTGACTCTGTTGTCCCTTCATCTACAATAGCAGGAGGGTCTCCTCCCAGCAGTGACAACAGGGCGATGACACCCTCACAGAACTTTCTGCTTCTTGCTGAGCTCCATGTGTCCCCATCAGCCCAAAGAGCAGCTCTCTCGAGGTGCTGCTGAAGTACAGCTCTGCTGGTCAGTGCGCCTGTCACCCCCCTAAATCAGTACTGCCTGCAAAGCTGCTGGGGGCATGGAGATGTATAACACAGGCTCCTGGATCAACACCTGAATTACCCTGCTTGTTATCAGCCACCAACCAGACTTCAAGCTATTGATCATGATCCCTTTAGCTTGCCCAGCCACATTTCAACTAATTTAATAGCCTGGCTATCCGGAACAGACTGAATTCTGAGAAGTGCTCGGTGCTGTAAGTATTAAGCATGAATACTGCTTTGTTTATAGCTTTAACTGTTACTGCATTCCAGACGAAATCTGACATCCTACAGGCTCCTCACTCAGATGAGCCACCTGTACCCAAACCCCTGCTGTGCTGGCACTGCATCCCAGCAGCTGAATTAACAGGCTGCCATGAAACCCTGCAGTGGCTCTGGGCCAGCCAGGCAGCACTGCTGCAGGTGTTCTGCCCTTCCCAAGCACTCTCCCCACCTAGCTGCAGCACAAAAGGAACACCACCAAAGCTAGGATGTGAGACCTGCACATCTTAACACCCTGCCCTGCCTCGAGCACCAGGAGCTGTGCTTTGCTCGAACTGAAGGAAGATGCACTACTGACACCAAACTACTCCTACTGTGCCTCCAATCCTCTCACTAGCTCTTCTGTAAGGAAAACCTCCCCACCAAACTACCATCCTCTTCCCCTGTTACACTACAGCACCGTCACTTTTCTCCTGAGGAACAACAGCACTGCAACTGTCGTGGTTTAACCCGGCCGGCAGCTAAACACCACGCAGCCGTTCGCTCACCCTCCCCCCTCCCTCTCTGGGACGGGGGAGAGAAATGGAAAGTGAAGCCCGTGAGTTGAGATAAAGACAGTTTAATAAGACAGGAAAATAATAATAACAAAATAATAATAACAATAATAACAATAATAATAATATGGTGATAATAGGGAAATAATAATAATATGTACAAACAAGTGATGCACAATGCAATTGCTCACCACTCGCTGACCGATGCCCAGCCTAACCCCGAGCAGTCCGGCCCCCTTCCCCCGGCTAGCCACCCCTATATATTGTTTAGCATGACGTCAGATGGTATGGAATACCCCTTTGGCTAGTTTGGGTCACCTGTCCGGGGTCTGTCCCCTCCCAGCTCTTACTGCACCCCCAGCCTGTCCGTTGGCAGGACAGAGCAAAAGGCTGAGATGTCCTTGGCTTAGTATAAGCACTGCTCTGCAACAATTAAAGCATTGGGGTGTTATCAGCACTCTTCTCATCCTAAGCCAAAACACAGCATTCCACCAGCTACTAGGAAGAAAATTAATTCTGTGCTAACTGAAACCAGGACATCTATCCACCCCTTATTCCATACCATTTATGTCATGCTCAGGTTACACTCTTTTCCATACATTCTAATTAGTCACCTATAGTAATCATGGTAGTGATAACATACAGTGTAATATACTAATTAACATGGTACAATTCAGTTTATGGGCTATTCTCACCCAGTATTAAATCTCCTTGAGGTACACACCGGACCTCTCCGTTCTTTTGCATCACCCACCAAGTGTATCCAGGTCCCTGAGCGAAAACAATTCCACGAATAGGTTTGCCTTTTCTTGAGGCAGGAGTAGCCCAGACTGTTTTACCCAGCATATTTTTTACATGCACTACAGGAACTTTATCCCCATCTACAGTACGTAACAGGTTTGATTGGGCAGGTCCAGCTCGGTTGGTAGATCCCCTAGTATTGACTAACCAGGTGGCCTTTGCCAAATGCGTATCCCAGTTTTTGAACGTCCCAGCGCCCATTGCTTTCAAGGTAGTCTTTAACAGGCCATTGTATCGTTCAACTTTCCCGGAGGCTGGTGCATGATAGGGGATGTGATACACCCATTCAATACCATGTTCTTTGGCCCAAGTGTCTATAAGGTTGTTTCGGAAGTGAGTCCCATTGTCTGATTCTATTCTTTCTGGGGTGCCATGTCGCCATAGGACTTGCTTTTCAAGGCCCAGGATGGTGTTCCGGGCGGTGGCATGAGGCACAGGATATGTTTCCAGCCATCCAGTGGTTGCTTCCACCATTGTAAGTACGTGGCGCTTGCCATTGCGAGTTTGAGGGAGTGTGATGTAATCAATCTGCCAGGCCTCTCCATATTTATATTTCAGCCATCGTCCTCCATACCAAAGAGGCTTTGACCGTTTGGCTTGCTTGATTGCAGCACATGTTTCACAGTCATGAATAACCTGTGCTATAGCGTCCATGGTCAAGTCCACCCCTCGATCACGAGCCCATCTGTATGTTGCGTCTCTACCTTGATGGCCTGAGGTGTCATGGGCCCATCGGGCTATAAATAATTCACCTTTATGCTGCCAATCCAGGTCCACCTGAGCTACTTCAATCTTAGCAGCCTGATCCACCTGCTGGTTGTTTTGATGTTCTTCAGTAGCCCGATTCTTGGGCACATGAGCATCTACGTGGCGTACTTTCACAGCCAGGTTCTCTACCCGAGCAGCAATATCTTGCCACAATGCAGCAGCCCAGATGGGTTTGCCCCTACGCTGCCAGTTGTTTTGCTTCCATTGCTGTAACCATCCCCACAGGGCATTTGCTACCATCCATGAATCGGTGTAGAGATAGAGAACTGGCCATTTTTCTCGTTCAGCAATGTCTAAAGCCAGCTGAATGGCTTTCACTTCTGCAAACTGACTCGATTCACCTTCTCCCTCAGCAGCTTCTGCAACTCGTCGCGTAGGACTCCATACAGCAGCCTTCCATCTCCGATGCTTCCCCACAATACGACAGGACCCATCAGTGAACAGGGCATATTTCTTTTCATTCTCTGGCAACTGGTTGTACAGTGGGGCTTCTTCAGCACGACCCACCTCCTCCTCTGATGATATCCCAAAGTATTTGCCTTCTGGCCAGTCCATGATCACTTCCAATATTCCTGGGCGACTGGGGTTTCCTATTCGAGCCCGCTGAGTAATCAGTGCAACCCACTTGCTCCATGTAGCATCAGTTGCATGATGCGTAGAGGGGACCCTTCCCTTGAACATCCAGCCTAGTACTGGCAATCGGGGTGCTAGGAGGAGTTGCGCTTCAGTACCGACCACCTCCGAAGCAGATCGAACTCCTTCATATGCTGCCAATATCTCCTTTTCAGTTGGAGTATAGCGGGCCTCAGATCCTCTGTATCCCCGACTCCAAAACCCCAGGGGCCGACCTCGAGTTTCCCCAGGTTCTTTCTGCCAGAGGCTCCAGGTGGGGCCGTTCTCCCCGGCTGCAGTGTAGAGCACATTCTTTACATCTGGTCCTGTTCGAACTGGCCCAAGGGCTACTGCATGGACTATTTCCTGCTTGATTTGTTCAAAGGCTTGTCGTTGTTCAGGGCCCCACTCAAACTCATTCTTCTTACGGGTTACTTGGTAGAGTGGGTTTACAATCAGACTGTAATTTGGGATGTGCATTCTCCAAAACCCCACAACACCTAGGAAAGTCTGTGTTTCTTTTTTGTTAGTTGGTGGAGACATAGCTGTTATTTTGTTGATCACATCCATTGGGATTTGACGACGTCCATCTTGCCATTTTATTCCTAAAAACTGGATCTCTCGTGCAGGTCCTTTGACTTTATTTTGTTTTATGGCAAAACCGGCTTTCAGAAGGATTTGGACTATCTTCTTCCCTTTCTCGAAAACTTCCTCTGCTGTGTCACCCCACACAATAATGTCATCGATGTACTGCAGGTGTTCAGGAGCTTCCCCCTGCTCTAGCGCAGACTGGATCAGTCCATGGCAAATGGTAGGGCTGTGTTTCCACCCCTGGGGCAGCCTATTCCAAGTATATTGGACTCCCCTCCAAGTGAAGGCAAATTGTGGCCTGCACTCTGCTGCTAGAGGGATGGAGAAAAATGCATTAGCGATATCAATTGTGGCGTACCACTTGGCTGCCTTCGATTCAAGTTCATACTGAAGTTCCAGCATGTCTGGCACTGCAGCACTCAGTGGTGGCGTGACTTCGTTCAGGCCGCGATAGTCCACTGTTAGTCTCCACTCGCCATTAGACTTTCTCACTGGCCATATGGGACTATTGAAAGGTGAATGGGTCTTGCTGATCACTCCTTGGCTCTCCAATTGACGAATTAGCTTATGGATGGGGATCAGGGAGTCTCGGTTAGTGCGATATTGCCGCCGGTGCACAGTTGTGGTAGCGATTGGCACTTGCTGTTCTTCGACCCTCAGCAACCCCACAACAGAGGGGTCCTCTGAGAGACCAGGCAAAGTAGATAATTGCTTAATGCCCTCTGTCTCTAAGGCAGCTATACCAAAAGCCCACCGGAACCCTTTTGGGTCCTTGCAATATCCTCTTCTAAGATAGTCTATGCCAAGGATACATGGAGCATCCGGGCCAGTCACAATGCGGTGCTTTTCCCACTCATTCCCAGTCAGACTCACTTCAGCCTCCAATACAGTCAACTGCTGAGATCCTCCTGTCACTCCACAAATATAGATGGGCTCTGGTCCTTTATAGCTCGATGGCATTAGAGTACATTGTGCACCGGTGTCTACTAAAGCCTTATACTTCTGTGCGCGTGATGTGCCAGGCCATCGAATCCACACAGTCCAATAAACTCGATTGTCCCTTTCCTCCCCCTGGCTGGAGGCAGGGCCCCCCTAATCCTGGTCAGAATCTTCTTCATTTCTGTGTTTGAAGGACTGTCTGCTGGAAGTTGGAGCAGCAAACTTTTCGGAGAATCCCTTTTTCCTGATTGTTTTCTTTTGCAACTCACGTACCCGTGCCTCTAGGGTCGCGGTAGATTTTCCATCCCATTTTCTCATGTCCTCTCCATGGTCTCGTAAGTAAAACCACAGGGTGGCACGGGTGAGTACCCACCATATCGTCTTCCTTGTGTGGGTGAACGCCTACCCCTGACAGCTGAGACACTGCTTTGTACAGGTGCGGAGGAGAATAATCTCTCTTCAAGTTGGTGAAACTTTTCAGAAAGTGTTTTCTCCCAGGTGTTCTCTTTTGGTCGGTGGACACTGGTTGGTTCAGGTGGGGAGGACAATAGATTCTCTTCAAGTTGGTGAACCTTTTCAGAAAGTTTCTCCACAGCTGAGACGCAGGCCTGTAAGGAAGAGGAGAGACTTTCTTCGTACTGCCGGAGTTGTTTAGCCACTTCATCTACTGTGGGTTCCTCATCCTCTTTCCAGGCCATTATTGCCAATGAGCTGGCATATGATGATGGTGCACTCCGTACAAACTTCCGCCACATGGGTCGTGTACACTTGACTTCATCTGGATCTTTGGATGTTTGTCTCTGGTCTGGATCCTCATAAATCACTTCCCGTACGGCTAATTCCCTCAGGTACTGGATTCCCTTCTCCATAGTGGTCCACTTGCCTGGTAGACATAAAAGTTCTTCCTTGAAGGGATACCTTTCCCTCACAGCTGAGAGGAGACGCCTCCAGAGGCTGGTGGATTGTGCTCCATCTGCAATTGCTTTGTCAATGCCGGCGTCTCGAGCAAGGGATCCCAGCCGCTTGGCTTCCCTGCCGTCTAATTCCACACAATTGGCTCCAGAGTCCCAGCACCGGAGCAGCCAGGTGACAAGCTGCTCACCTATACAGCGACCAAAATCTTTTCGCACATCTCGTAGCTCGCGCTCGTTTAGGCTTCGGGTAGTTACTGTTGCTTTTTCGGCATCCTCATCTTCCTCCTCCTGAATCCTTGATGGCCCAGCGTCGTCGTCATCTTCGTCATCTCTATACCTAGTTTTGGCAGAAGCCTTACCTGGGTTGGCAGAAGACTCTCTGCGTTCTAAACGACCTGAATCTCTATACCATTTTTTCACCTTCTCTACAGGGGCAGCTTGCACTGCTACTGCTCGTTTCTCTGACTTTGTTACAGAGTCTGCTACAGGGATTGGAATACCCTCTGCAGGGTCAGCTTGCACTGCTACAGCTCGTTTCTCTGACACGGCCACAGGAGCTGGAGTGGCTGCAGGAGCTGGAGCAGTTGCAGGAACTGGAGCTGTAGCGGCTACAGGAGCTGGAGCTGGAGCAGTTGCAGGAGCTGGGACTGGAGCAGCAGTAGGAGCTGGAGCTGGAGCGGCTTCAGGAGCTGGAGCTGGAGCGGCTTCAGGAGCTGGAGCTGGAGCGGCTTCAGGAGCTGGGGCTGGAGCGGCTGCAGGAACTGGAGCTGGAGCGGCTGCAGGAGCTGGAGCTGGAGCGGCTGCAGGAGCTGGAGCTGGAGCGGCTGCAGGAGCTGGGACTGGAGCGGCTGCAGGAGCTGGAGCGGCTGCAGGAGCTGGGACTGGAGCAGCTGCAGGAGCTGGGACTGGAGCGGCTGCAGGAGCTGGGACTGGAGCAGCTGCAGGAGCTGGGACTGGAGCGGCTGCAGGAGCTGGAGCTGGAGCTGGAGCAGCTGCAGGAACCGGATCTGGAGTGGCTGCAGGAGCTGGGGCTGGAGCGGCTGCAGAATCCACCGTAGGGGTCACAGTGGCCGTTGGATCTGTCACAGGGCTTGGAGTGGCCGCAGGGTCTGTCACTAAGTTGATAGCAGTATCAATGGCAGCTCGATAGGCATGAGCCAGGCCCCAGCACGTTACAATGATTTGTGTTACTTTGGAACTGCCAGAATCATGACACCTTTTTTTCAAGCATTCTGCCAGTTTTTGAGGATTTTGCCATTGTTCAGGGGTGAATTTCCAACACACTGGGGGTGCCAACTGCTCTAGATGCCTGCCCATATCCGCCCATACTCCCTGCCACCCACAACTATCCTGCCTCCGGGCAGATCTCCAGATGAGCTCCCCAAGTAGTTGTTTAACTTTAAGCAGAATCTGAAGTGCATTCATGAGGCAGAACAACAAGACTATGGTATTCTGAGTATTCCAGAAATATTCAATATCTTGGAGAGCTATTTTGACAAGCTCAGGGGATAAGAGAGTGGTGAAGGAGGAAGGCAGAGTGATCCAGGAGGATACAGGGGGGGTGAAGGAGAAAGGGAGAGTAAGCAAGTAAGGAAAAATATCCTCCCCTTTCCCCTCCACAGATTGACTCCCTAATGGAAAAAAACAATAGGTATAATTGCTAATAGTTTCCAAGATACAGTTTCCAAAGTACAGAGTCGACGATGTTACTGAATACAAATAACAAGTTAGAGTCATGACCACATATTTCATCGTCTCATAGGCCATTGCTACAACACACAGCACCATAATGATCTGAAACCAGGGCCCGGAGAGGATAAACAACATGACAGAGAGCAAATACGGAAAATAATGTACTATAATACTCAATTTGGAAAACAGGCGCAGCAGAGTTGAGATTAAAGCAATCAGCATCATGACAAGTGACTATTAAGCAGGTCTAATCCTTACACCAATTTTAGTTTAACACACTCTGGTCAGATCTGCCGTTATCTCAACCTTTCGGGCCCCACGTTGGGCGCCAAAAAGACTGTCGTGGTTTAACCCGGCCGGCAGCTAAACACCACGCAGCCGTTCGCTCACCCTCCCCCCTCCCTCTCTGGGACGGGGGAGAGAAATGGAAAGTGAAGCCCGTGAGTTGAGATAAAGACAGTTTAATAAGACAGGAAAATAATAATAACAAAATAATAATAACAATAATAACAATAATAATAATATGGTGATAATAGGGAAATAATAATAATATGTACAAACAAGTGATGCACAATGCAATTGCTCACCACTCGCTGACCGATGCCCAGCCTAACCCCGAGCAGTCCGGCCCCCTTCCCCCGGCTAGCCACCCCTATATATTGTTTAGCATGACGTCAGATGGTATGGAATACCCCTTTGGCTAGTTTGGGTCACCTGTCCGGGGTCTGTCCCCTCCCAGCTCTTACTGCACCCCCAGCCTGCCCGTTGGCAGGACAGAGCAAAAGGCTGAGATGTCCTTGGCTTAGTATAAGCACTGCTCTGCAACAATTAAAGCATTGGGGTGTTATCAGCACTCTTCTCATCCTAAGCCAAAACACAGCATTCCACCAGCTACTAGGAAGAAAATTAATTCTGTGCTAACTGAAACCAGGACACAACCCAACCCAGTGGGCTGCATGCGAGGGGCAGAGTGCAGCCAGGTCTTGTTCTTCTAGCTGCTAACCACTCAGCTCAGAACAGGAGCTCCCAGGGAGCTGGCTTCCCTGGAGCTGTTGGTCTGGGATTGCAAGATGATTCAAACCAGCCACTTCATGAATGTGTAAAACAAAGCTCATGAGGCCCCAGCTTGAGTCATTTTTCTGCCTATTACATAAGTCCAATGAGTGAGACAGAGCAACTCCCCTCCACTGACACAAGTTTTTTTTTTGCCTGTCACTTTTTTAATCCGTTGGGTTCTCTCTGTGCACAGCCAATGTAAACAAACGGGCTCCCAAAATGACAGCCAAGACTGAGGCTCATCTTGCACGTTTTCTGGACACTTCATTTCACTCCTGCTGCTCACGCAGCCTCTGCTGTCAATTAGGAAGAGCAGAGTTCTAGACCTGCCCTGCCAAGCTGGCCAGTCCTCTGAGCACACAGCGCTGACCTTGGCAAAAAGACCAAGCTTATTACACACATCTGGGGGAAAAACAAAACAAAACTAACAGCTATCTATCTCTATATATACAGATATATAGCAAGTGAATGAACTCATGAAGATTTGATATTGGAAGCAAAATACAGTAATTTTCAAAACTGCCCAACAACTGCAGCTTCAGTTGCACACAAATATACTGAATAATTCTTAATAAGTATCATCATCCTGAATGCTACCTCTCACTTATAAGTGAGGAAAATACAGCCTGGAAGTTTCAGAGGTAACAAATGCTCTCAGGGGAATATGGCTGGACAGCATATTTCCTATTCAGTTTAGAAATTGATTCCTTTTGCCTTCCACCTGCCCTCACTTTTGTATAAGAATCAACATCACTCATCATGCGAGCTAGCTTCAGCCACTGCAGAAGCCTCTGTACACACAACGAAAGGATGTCACTGCCAGGATGCACAACAGGCAACTCCACTGTACTCCCTCAAGGCAGCAGTAGATTCCCAACAGCTGACTCATGTTCTAAGTTCAAAAACAAGACAGAACATTTCCAAAAACAAGTAATAAGTACACCCACAAAGTTTGCCTATCTTTCCGAGATTATAAATCTTATGCCTCCTTACCAGCATTCTGCATGTAACCAAAATGTTTTAATCTAAACTTTGAGGGTGGTGCTGCTGATTATCTTCCCAAAGTATCATTAATGGGCAAGAGTAAGAAAGGTTACCTTGGAACTGCTTAATCATATTCTGATGGTTCTCAATAGCCTCCTGCAAGATCATTTCAGCTTGGTCCATCTTCCACCTCCACTCTGTGCCCACTGGATTTGTATGATGTCTGAAGGAAAAAGAGACTGAGTTATTCATTGCAATTTGTACAAACCCATCCATCACCCTGGGGACTCTGAAAAACAAGAGCAAATTATCTGCAAGACCCTGCTTCCAACAACTCTCAGATGTGACCTTTGAACACCAGTCTTCTACCCCTCTCCTCCCAGACTCTGGTCCTCTCCAGAAAGAATGGACCTTGTAGTCTAGTATAAACATTAGCATACGTATTTTGAATCATGGGTAAAAGGTTTTTAAGACGTTAAAATGACGCTCTGCAGCCAGAAAGACCTCTTTTTAAAGAAAGAAAAACCAGCTCTACCTCCTCTTCTGACCACAGCCACACAAAGCGCTTAAGAAGGAAGATCCTAAGACTCTTATAGATCCATTCTGGAAAGGCAAACTATTACCCTAAGAAGGAAAGGATTTACTTCTAAGCCAATCTTTGGTTAACACTAGTAACAAAACAGATGATAGCAGGCTACTCAAAACACATGAAGGTTCTGGGAATTCTGCAGTATGCCAGAGATTCATCTCTGGTGAATCCAGTTAGTCTCCCAGATTTACTCAGTAGGGGCTTCTCATCACTTCTGAGACCTGCCACCCAGTTTCTGACACCCAAAGGGAAAAATTAAGTGTTAATTTAGGAATCAAACTGACTGCAGGGACAAAAACCACTGATCGTCCCTCTGAGGGACAGCTGTGTTGAACTGGGATAGGAAGCCGACCTTGCCTATGCAGAGAAGACCACTCACTGTAGCCACATTTTGCTTTCCTCAAAAATGCAAAAAGCATACTCAGGTGAATCGACCATTCAAGTGCCTGGAAGATACCTGAAACTTCTTGTTCCTTTATTCGTTGCCATGGGAGGATATTACTCAGCCCCTGTAAGTTATCTGCAAGAACCTAATCCAGACCAGCAAGTGAAACCCCACAAAGCAACACGCTCATTCCTGGACAACTCCAACCCAAGGAGAGCCTGTACAAGAGCATGGACCTCTCCCTGGTGAGAGGAACTTCCCACTAACCTTGCTGCACTCAGATTAGTATCAAACAGGGGTAGGAAGATGTCTAAAGGCTGCACTAAGAAAACCAAAGAATTTGTGTTTTCACCTCCTTGTTCTCTCTGCCCTCTCCTGTTTGCTCCCCAAAATACACTACAAAAGTTTTTCTACTTCTCCCCTACCAATTCTACTGTGGCTTACTGAATAATGCAATCAAAGAGTAGTAGTATATATTTGCCGTGCCTTTCAAAATAGCGTTATTAGATCAATATAGGTCTGGACAAGAAAACATCAAGCAATGCATCTTCTTGAAACTCAGTCTTATAACCAGCTGATCTCTTTTCTCTCCTGCTTTCATCACCCCTGGAAGTCAGCCATGGAGAGGACTGAGGTTACCTGCCTCACTCACTCCTTCCATCTCCAAGGGCATTAGGAGATAACATTCAGCACTTAACTAAAGGAGAAAAGAGAGACAAGGGCACTTTTTCCAGAAAGCAATGGCTGCTTTTTTAGAAGGAAATGGCCTACTGAAGACCATCAAAAGATTCCCACTGGCTGCAGCTCCACTTGAGCAGTGCTAAAACACAAATTCTAGCTCCACAGTCAACAAGAACAGACGCTAGCCCAAATGCTGCTGTGCCCGCTTCAAGAGCAAAGATTCAAATGCTACTCTCAAACCGCTTCACCATCGCAAAGCTGCTTTAAGCAAAAACAGCTTTTTTGCATTTTTTTTTAAACGCTGCCAACATGGAAAGTTTTCGGAATGCCAACTATAAAAAGGCATTTATAAAACGCTTACATGTTTAACTACATAGCTTGTACCCCATATATTTAATAGGGCAAGCTGGCAGAAGATCAACAGGCTCTTAATGCACACTGGACAACTATTAATTACTAGCGTCTAACAGCCCTTGAATTTTTAGCACATTCTGTTTATTAAACATACCGGGTCACGTCTACAAAGCTCATTTGGCAAGAAGCAGCTTCTTTTCTCCCAGGGCACAAAGCAAGGGTTTGTGGCTGATGAGACTGTTTCGCAGTCCCCAGCAGAGACCGGCTTTCCCCGCCACCTTCCCACTCCCCTGCAGGCTGTCACCCCTGCATCCCCTGCCTCACCAGCTACTCAAGCCTTGAGCAGGTCATTAAGCGTGATACTCCTTTCCATCCCAAAATAACACCGCACACAAAGAAGTCCTACCCAAAACCACACACACACTAGAAAGCTCTTACTGTGTTAGAATTTGAGTCAGGAACATTCACCTGACCCTTTGGAGACAAGCCATCGCCATCCCAGCACCCCACTAAGACAAAGCGATGATGGCGAGCTCTCGGCTCACTCCAGCTCTTCCCCAGCTAGTAAGGACTGCCACCAATCAAGGCTGGTTTGCACTCCTCATATCTCTGATCTACCAGTGTTATTTGGCAGCGTCACCAGCACAGCCCCAATCAGACCTCTGTGAGAAAGGCGGGTGCTTCGGTGAGGCACTGCATCCCCATCCCCAGTTGCCAGGGCACGATTTCAGTAACGCAGCTTTTGCTTTATTTTCAGGACAGGTTCATTCAACACCGCTAATTCTAACTGTGGAAAATGCCAGGGGAATTTACAACTACTTCTTTACAAAACTAGAGTTGTTCTCTCCCTGTTAAGAAACTACAGCTTGTTTATAAAGGAAATCCTTTTAAAATGACCAGAAGTGTCTGAGTTTGTGCCTCTTGCCTTTTGTCAGGGTGAAACCATGAGTACAGATGGTCTTAGGATGAGAGCCTGAAAATCTGGGCTCTAAAATGAAAGTTTATTTTGCAATCTACTCCCAGCATGGCCAGAAGAAACCAATGACCCTCTTTTAAAATGTTTGCTTTCTTCTATGAGCAAAGGTTAGCATTATGAAGTCTTTCAAGAGACTTTGTGGGAAAACGTAGCACAGGTATAAAGTATCCTTTACTCCAGGGATTGATGTCGATACCTGGCAGAGAACACGAAGGTGAGGAAACACTGGGGGCAGTGATCATGAAAGGACAGGGTACGCAATTCCCAGGAAGGGACAGGAAGGAAAAGCAGAACAAAAATAAGAAGGTTCAAGACAGCAGATCTCAATGATCCCTGAGAACCAGCAGGTGAGGTCCTAGAGGAGAAATGTTGAAGGGCAAAGGAGCTCTGGAGAACTAGCAGGTTTTTAAACCCTATTAAGGCAGCAGTGCAACTGTGGCAATATAAAGCAAAGTGTAACAAGAAACCAATCCAGCAGAATCACAGGCTCTTCTGCAACCTTGCAATCCTCCAGCTGAGAAAAAAAAAAAAAAAAGGAAGAACTTCAGAACACAGGGTCACAATCAGAGAGATCAACGCACAGAGTATGATAGACCTAGCAAAGGATGTACAAAAGGGCCAACAAGAAAGCCTCTCCCTGTGCTGACACGAGGAGCAAGCAGACAGCCAAGGAAAAAGTTTGGCCAATACACAAGGACACAAAGCTTGTTCCTCCGTGATAACAAGGAGCGTTGGCACCTCTTCTTCCTAATGACAAAGGGACAAACCAGATGAGACTAGGAAAGGACAAGTTAACAATACTTCTCTAAAAAGTGTTTTCACTTGGGTAGTAACCTTGCCCTGGAATGTGCTGGATGAACCAGCTGACGGAGCATCACGGTGGGTAGCAATAAGCTGAAAGTGTGTGGCCAACACAGAAATGCAACTTCAAAAAGACTACAAGACTGCAAGTGCAACGCCTGCTTTAGCAGGAATCGAGGATTTCTGTATCAGCCCCTCTTAACTTTGAATTCCTTGGGACACAATGGATTACGTGTTTGTGACTTCCACACCCCCTTGAGAAGACAGCCTGCAGATGATAACAGCCAACAGAGAACATTTTACACTAAGACCACCATGTAGGTGTGGTGGCCACCTTGTAGGCAAAGGAGAATAGAAGAGTTCAAGCTTTGGACTCTGATTTACCCAATATTTTCACAATTTGACCAAGGAAATGTTCCGTAGAAGGCACTATTTTTAAAGAGTACATTATCGTGGTGGAAAACTTAGATCTGCGATCAGTCGCCACTGCTTCAGAAGGCCACCAGACCTGGCCAGAAGGACAGCTGCAGGGCGTGTGCGGAACTGGCCCCATTCAGCGGTTTCTTAGAGCTGAGCTGCGCAGGAGGCAGGCTTGCCACAGCCCCAGGTGGAACCAACACTTCTGGAGATGCAAACCCACAGCATGCCATTAGGAACAGATCACCCGCTGGCTGAGGACATCACCGCCCTGCTGGTGACAAGCTGTCGTAACCTGCCACTGGCTGCAAAACGCAGCGCAGGGAGGCAAAGAGCTGGGGAGCGCCTCCTCCACGAGGGATGGGATAGCGAGGACGGGCTGTTCTCCAGGCATGCAGAATCACAAATGGCCTCAAAACAACAGTGAGGAGGGATGCCTGGTTCTACCAGTCCCCCTGCAGACCAACGCTGCAGCATGCTGCGAGGGGAGCACTGCTTCGTGCCTCTAAGCACAGGCAGCACGCAGCCATCAAGCAGGACTGACACAGGCTCACCTGGACCTGCCCTCCGCAGAGGATGCACCAGAGACTTCATGTCTCAGATTGTTTTACAAATCACGCAACACTCACTTTAAAGAGAAAAAAGCTGATAGGCATTTTTAGGTTTTTGTTCTTATCTAGACTGTTGTCAGAGAAAAAGGAACAATGTACCTACAGAAACTTCCCATTAAATATTTTTTGTGTGTTGCTTTGAGAAGTCTTTTTTTAGGTTTAGGAGTAAGAAAAATAGTTTATAATAAATAAATTTGGGAAAAAAAATCAAAACACATGGCATTAACTCAGCAGAATGTAGGGATAAGCTATTTTAGAGAAGAAAACACTGGGGAAATAAGTCCAAAATCAAATTTTGGATATCTAAATATCCAAAGAAAACTCATTTTAACAGTGACAATAGTGAGTATTTTAGAAAGAAAACTTGGACATCCATGTTTTGAAATCAATTCAGGTAAAAAAAAAAAAAAA